CATCTCCAGTACCTGGCACTCGGACTCAGCACTAACGAAATTTGAAGGGAACAATAATTAATTCTCAATAATTCCATTATTATTTTTTTTGTCTTCCGCCTGAGAGAGAAAATCATGTTCTATTTTTTTTTTTTTGACTTCAGGAGGTTGTGGAAAGAGTTTATATTTTGTTGTGAGCTGTGATAGCAGGAATATCTTTTCAGCTGTACTCAATGGGGGGGACCTCTCTCGCTGAACAAACATTGTATTGCGGTTCGGACAATGTAAGAAGTGGACACTGCACAAAATTGACAATGAGAGGAGGGTCGAATGCGGGGGGATGAGAAAGAAAAAATCCTGACTCTTTCTCTTTCTTAACAAAGAAAGTCTTGACTAACAACACCTTGTTTGACACGAGAACGGCTGCGGCACTCTTTATTTTCCAGAACGACCTTTAACTGATTTAAATTAAAATCCAGTTATGTCGCGGGTCGACTAGATGTCGCCCGCAGCGCAGGAACAGGAAAGGCGCAGTAAGTGCAACGCAGCGTAGGAAACGCTACGTCGTACATAAAAACAAATATCTCGAAAATTCTAAACAATTCAAGATAATAACAGGGTCTGAGGACCTCTCACAAGTTATTGTTTCCTCATTATGTCATGTATATATAGCTTTTTCTTAAACGGGACATCTTATTAAAAGTCTATGTACCTAATATAATAATATTAGGTATTATTATATATTAAAACCAACGTCCTCTTAGTTTTATATTTAATCATTAGGGGGGATTATTCTTGAAGTTCCTCAATCATTGCTTTCTCATAAACACATAAAATACTTGATTGTGTATATTGTCAGGAGACATGTTGATCCAAAATTAGACTGCAATTTTTTTTATTATTGTGAAGTGGAAGTGTCAAGTTTGATAAACTGTATAACTTACAACCTGAGTTTTTGCATGAATGCTGTACAGTATTGCCTCAAAATAATAAATCTTTCATTTTCCAACTCTTAATGCCATTTCTCCTTCAAAGGGATTGTGAGTTATTCATCATTCTTCAGGGTCGTCTCTAAATCTGGTAAAAACCCTACAAGAGACTAGTATTTTACTTTGGGTACAGCTAAAATCACGACCTTTTCTTTTCTAACGTGAAGAACTAACAAGTAGACTTAAGTATTCATATTAGGTTCAAATTAAAATGACCATTATAAATTTAGATAAACAATCCAGGGTTTTCTTGACATTTCCCTCTCTGAAAAGCATATTCAGTCAATGTGAAATATACCCCATAAATGCCAAAAATGTGCATTATTTGCAAGATAACATTACAGCAATGATGAGGAACAAATGTTCATAAATTTCCTGCTCTGAGATCAACTCAGAAGCCCAAGATTAAAGATTTAATCTTTGAGAAATTCTAGTTATATTTAGGATCAACATTTTGAATTGTTAACAGGTGAAAACATTTGAGAAAAGTCCTCTCACCATTCAAGACTTCATTGCTACCAAGAATGACAGTAAGACATTAGGAACCTTCTGGAATCCTCCACTGACAGAAAATAAGTCCTGGACTGCTTTGCTCTTTTGATGACCACTTTTCCAGATTTCAGATTCCATGATGTCCAGGAAGATGTCAGTCCCAATGCCACAATGACTGAACAGGATGAACACTTTCCAGGGGACATTGCTCTTCCAGAACAAGTGGATCCCCAAGTGAGACTTCATTGTTGGTACTAAAATAAAATGAGATAAAATTGCATTAGTATAATGTACAGCATACTGTATTACTGTATTAATTTCCTTAAGATGAGTATAATGTAATATGAAAATTTCCATTTCTCTCAACATAGACATTTTTCCCAATCATGCATTTGGGAAAATATGCCTATTCCATAAGGCCAGGGGTCATGCAACCATCAGACCAAAAAAAACAACAAACATAGGATAAAGGAATGACTTCAGCTCAGTATGGCAAAAATGTCCTCCTTTAATTTTTTTCCCCATTTATTCTTTTCAATTGGCATAATTATTTCAAGCAACTAAAACAACTGGAATTTATTTCTGGCTTCTTGATATTTGACAGCAGCTCTCTATTTGATCAAATTAATACTAAAAACAAAAAACGCATAGATTTCATAAAAACATTTTAGTAAAAAGTTCATGAATTTCTGTGAATTTTGAGTTTTAGCATTATACATTTTTGAAAATCATATCATATTAGTGTTTTATACTATGAGCTAAGATATTTAACAGTCATTTCTTTACTATAACTATGTTTTGCACAAAAAAATTCCGATTTGTTTCTTAAATGAATATACTTTCCATAGGAAAACACAACAAATATAATATTCACGCCTTGCCAATAATCAATTCATTCTGGACTAAGAGGGCTGGAATTAGATAAAGATTGCAGATATAATGGCCTCATATTCAATTCTATTTTAATAAATGCAATGGCTGAAAAAATCATGGAAATAATAAGATTTTAGACCGTCATCTACACAGATTTAAAATAAATAAGAGGCATCATCTTAGAGAACTATGTACAGTACTTTGAAACATTGATTATTGAAGTCTGATACAAAAAATCAAGTGTTTTCTTGATGCTTACTTTCTCCTACAAACATATTCAATCAATGTGAATTATATCAGATTTAGTAATCCTAAATATTCATTAAACTATAAAATATTGCTATTTTTTGGTTGGAGCAGATTTTTTTTTTCAAATTAAAGATGTGAAATTTTAATGTCCAGTCTTGATTAACATTATGCACATCCAAGCCAAAAGGTATATTTCCATTTGTCCAACATTTGCATCAAAGGATCCATGCATTCATGAATGTATATTGACCACATATGCAGTCAGAATCCCAATTTTTCCCCTTTTTGTGGAATACCTTTCAGAAACATTATCAANAAACAAATATCTCGAAAATTCTAAACAATTCAAGATAATAACAGGGTCTGAGGACCTCTCACATCAATAACAAAGGAGTAATACAGTACATATATATCGAAAAAGAATTTGCCCTGTAGAATAATTTTCAGATACATGGATTATATTATTATAATCCATAATAATATATAATTTTGGTTGCAGGAGAATCTTTTATATTTAATCATTAGGGGGGATTATTCTTGAAGTTCCTCAATCATTGCTTTCTCATAAACACATAAAATACTTGATTGTGTATATTGTCAGGAGACATGTTGATCCAAAATTAGACTGCAATTTTTTTTATTATTGTGAAGTGGAAGTGTCAAGTTTGATAAACTGTATAACTTACAACCTGAGTTTTTGCATGAATGCTGTACAGTATTGCCTCAAAATAATAAATCTTTCATTTTCCAACTCTTAATGCCATTTCTCCTTCAAAGGGATTGTGAGTTATTCATGTAAGAAGTCCCAGCAGAGATTTAGACCATTTTTGGGATGTTCTCTGATCATAAAATGAAACCCATGTCGATTTTAGTGCTGGAAAAGAAAAGATTGCACTTCTTGATTGTTCATCTGAATTCATAAACATATTAGGTTCAAATTAAAATGACCATTATAAATTTAGATAAACAATCTAGGGTTTTCTTGACATTTCCCTCTCTGAAAAGCATATTCAGTCAATGTGAAATATTCCCCATAAATGCCAAAAATGTGCATTATTTTCAAGATAACATTACAGCAATGATGAGGAACAAATGTTCATAAATTTCCTGCTCTGAGATCAACTCAGAAGCCCAAGATTAAAGATTTACTTTGTGAGAAATTCTAGTTATATTTAGGATCAACATTTTGATTTGTAAACAGGTGGAAACAGTTGAGAAAAGTCATCTCACCCATTCAAGACTTCATTGCTGCCAAGAATGACGGTGAGACATTAGGAACCTTCTGGAATCCTCCACTGACAGAAAATAAGTCCTGGACTGCTTTGTTCTTTTTTGATGACCACTTTTCCAGATTTCAGTTTCCATGATGTCCAGGAAGATGTCAGTCCCAATGCCACAATGACTGAACAGGATGAACACTTTCCAGGGGACATTGCTCTTCCAGAACAAGTGGATCCCCAAGTGAGACTTCATTGTTGGTCCTAAAATAAAATGAGATAAAATTGCATTAGTATAATGTACAGCATACTGTATTACTGTATTCATTTTCTTAGGATGAGTATAATGTAATATGAAAATTTCCATTTCTCTCAACATAGATTCAATCATGAATTTGGGAAAATATGCCTATTCCATAAGGCCAGGGGTTCATGCAACCATCAGACCAAGAAAAACAACAAACATGGGATAAAGGAATGACTTCAGCTCAGTATGGCAAAAATGACCTCCTTCACTTTTTTTTACCATTTATTCTTTTCACTTGGCATAATTACTGTATTTCAAGCAACAAAAACAACTGGAATTTTTCAGACCAAAATTTAGAATGCTTCACAATGGTGAGTATTAAGATATACAGGACTCAAGATACATCATCTTAGAGAACTTTGTACAGTACTTTGAAACATTGATTATTGAAGTTTGATAACAAAAAATCAAGTGTTTTCTTGATGCTTACCTTCTCCTACAAACATATTCAATCAATGTGAATTATATCAGATTTAGTAATCCTAAATATTCATTAAACATTGACTATAAAATATTGCTATTTTTTGGTTGGAGCAGATTTTTTTAAAATTAAAGATGTGAAATTTTAATGTCCAGTCTTGATTAACATATATATATATATATATGTATTAAGCTATATTTCCATTTGTCCAACATTTGCATCAAAGGATCCATGCATTCATGAATGTATATTGACCACATATGCAGTCAGAATCCCAATTTTTCCCCTTTTTGTGGAATACCTTTCAGAAACATTATCAACACACTGGTGTGGTTACTCTCAAAGATGAATAAACTTTGCATATGTGCAATAGACAAAAGGACACAAGTGTTCAAATTCTCAACACTTGCCATGACAGAAAGCCTATGGGACATTTCACCAGATGCATAGAATAATGCGTCACACTTGTCCAACAGGTGTCTGAATGTATGAACCAATTCTCTGGTATATATAAGGACAGGCCTGTATCAACATGGGCCAGTCAAGTCAAGAAAACACCACAAAGCCCACAATCAGAAGCTGAACAAGAAGCCAAGACCTATATTCTTTGTTGCAAAATGTGGTTGTACATTGTCTTTGCTGGCCTAGTTGGCCTTGTCACTGGAATGCCTCATCTGCATCACAATGTGAGTCAATACTCTGATGCTATTTCAGATTTCAATGTAATAGAAAGCACAAGTATGAGTGCTTTTTGAGTTTGACAAACCTTGGCCAACTCAATCCCTGCAAGTTATATGTATTGTCTTACAATAAAACATGCTTTACCTTGTAGAGAAGGATCTCCCTCCAAATAAGGAGAAAAGAAAATAATCGCAATTCGGTTTCTGGGTTACAACATCTTATCACAGTGTTTATTAACCAAAAATGATACCAACTATTCATCAACTGAAGCCCATGCAGAAGAATTCCTGGCACATCTTATGATTTGGAAACTGAAATAAATAAACTAATGTCATTATCAGTAAAAATAGTTGCACCAGACTATACTTGAATTATTTTCATTGTCTACAGGTTGGAACATCAAAAAGCAACCATCTCACCATTGAAGACTTCATTGCAGCCAAGAATGATGGTAAGAGGCTCTGTGAAAAGACTCCCACTGATGGGAAATAAATCCCTTTTTTTGTTTGTTTTTGTGTGGCTTTTTTCAGATTTCAGTTTCCAAGAAGCCCAGGAAGATGTTCTCAATGGCAGGAATCCAGAACTGGGAGAACATTTTGAAGGCGACATCATTCTTCCTGAAGGCGTGAACCCACAAGTGGGTTACATACTGGAAAAAATAAAAATAAAACCATTAAAAGATTATTTATAAAGGGTTGGATCTGGAAAACATTGGTCATATTCCATTCAAATACCAAAATATCCAAATTTTTCTGAAGATAACCCTTTTGAAAATAAACTCAACCAAGTAAAATTTAATTTAAAATATGTCTTTTGATTGTATGTCCTCATGTCTCACAGCACATAATGGGGGGAAAAAGTCATTGAAAAAATTCCCTTGAGAAAAACAATTTATATAAATTTGAAAACTTAGAAATTCCACAGAAGTCAGTTTTTTGCAAGTTTTGATAATACAGTACTGTACTGTATCTGAAAAACAGAAGCTGTAACTTCTGACAAATTGCTATGAGAAAATCATTTGATTTCATTTTCCTATAAAATACTTCAATGAATTATAATTTCCTTCAGTAAAAATTGATAGTTAAAAAAAGCAGAAATTGGGTTTGAAACATTGGTCAACTTTCTTTTGTCCAACTTATATCAACACTTTCAAACACTAAAATATGTTCTTTCTCACCTCCACAGAATGGCATCCTCCAGGACTCCAAGTTGTGGCCAAATGCAACTGTTCCATACACCATCACAGGCAACTTCAGTATGTCAATGTCTCATACTCCATTCCCTGAAACAGGAAAAAAAACATTAAACTCGCTTCAAAACAAGCCAAGCTTCAAATGATTGAAGAAACATTAATTATACATTATTTATAAAAATTGATAAGACTGTCTTAGAAAATCAACAACAGATGTTAGTATAAAGATACACAGGGTGAGACCAAAAAACACATTACTGCACATGCTGAAATCATTCAGCTTTTCAACAGCTGAAGCAAAACATATGTGAAGAGCTATTTTGACATTTTTTGGTGCTGCTCCAGTGTGTGACCAACTCAAAAAACACCATGTAGAGTATGTCACTATGCGGTTCTTTAGGAAAATATTGATTAGAATAGCAGCTATTCAGAGTCATATGTTCATTTGAAAAATTGCGAATCTTCAGAATTTCTTTTCCATAGTAGGGGAAAAGTAAACATCTTATTACAAGTACAGCAATACATAATTGTTATGAATGTTTTTTTTCAATTGTCAACATGTAACATGAATCAATGTAAAAATGCTTCATTTCTCTTCCATGTTGAAAATCCTTTCTTCAAGTCACTGCATTCATCATGAAAATTTCAAGCTTAATCTGCATACAGAAAAATTTCAAAATATTTAAACTTTTGATAAAGAGAATGCATGCAATGCAGGAATTGAGACTTCAAGATATACAAATGGATTTTTCCCCTTTTCCCCCAAAAGGAAAAAAAGAGAAGCAGAATATTGTATACATCTTACAAACAATATCAACTGATGAAATTGTGATTCCTCAGCAACTGCACAGAGGGCTCTGATTGCTGCAGCCATTGCAACATACAATAAGGTCACCTGCATCAGATTTGTACCCCGCAAATCCACAGATGTCAACTATGCTTACTTTCAAAATGGAGCAGGAGGGTGAGTTTTCTATTTATTATCAAACCAAGTGATACAATTAATTGATGTGTTTTTTTTATTTTAAGAAAACTGCATTAATTTTAATTCAAAACTTTCAAATGTGTGAAATTCTCCAGGTTTTGGCAAATTACAATACTCTTTTGCACATATATACATTAAAAGGTGTAATTGATTTTTCAAGAAATTAAAATTAGATTTCCTATAGTATAAATTATAAGGAAAATGCTTGATCAAATCATTGTATATATGATTATTTCCAAGCAAATCTGATCTTTTCATTTTTCCACATGCATTCATGGGTTTTACTGTAATTAGATATTTTTGAAGAAATGTGTTTTATTATTCAAATAAGAAATTTTTTTTACAGAGGAGAGGACCTTTTTAGTACTTAATTTGAAAAACATATAATCCTAATTTTCTGAATACAATATACTTTCAACTCTTCACAAGATTTGTGTATCTCCTTATTCATTGGGGGAGAACTGGAAATAACACAGGACTTCTCTGGGAGGAAGCTACCAGAGTTTATATACTCCTAAATCTTCAGGTATATTATATAACAATACCATTGGTGTACCAGGAAGAGGTACTCAATTAAGGGGCGGATCAGGGTTGGAAGGACAAAGCACAAAGCTGTCAGAAAGATATTTCAGACAAGAAAGGAAACTTTTCCTTCCCATTGAAACAGAGGCAAGAATTTCCTAATCAACCAAAGATTTCTAAAGAGATGATAAACCAGCAAATAAAACAAGATAATCAGCCGGGACCAAAGTCCTAGTATAAAATGTTATATTTGTCAAAACAACCAGAAAAAGAGTTGAGCTCAACAGATATGAATACCAGCAATATCAATACCAAAGAGTCTCACAAAAAAACAACGCAAAGATTTGTTGGACTGTTGCCAGGTCTGAACTGGACTGTCTTGTAGATATACTTTTTCATCCTTTTTACACTGTTTTCCTACAAACAGAAAATCTGTCTCAAAAAAGGATATCCTTGGAGCCCAAGGCTCTTAGGGTGACAAATTTGAAGGACATTTTCAGACTTGGGAGGAAGATTGTGGGAACTTGAGGTCATCTCTGGTCCCATGAGATTCCTTCAGGATTATTGGCCTTATGCAGATTCCAGCAAATCCTGTGTTTCTTAACAACCCCTAACTATATTTTTGACAAAAGCTGCGTCCTTCAACAAAGGTCAAGTCAGAATAAAATATACAGTATATTCATACATATATATATTTATATATGTTGGAAAAAACTTCGGCATGCCGACAATTTGGCGCCAGATTAAGCTAAAATGTTCTTCTGTTCCGCAAAAAATCTCAGAAAAATTAACAGCTTCTGCTGGAGCCTGGGAACCAAACCCAAGTTCAATTCCCAGGCCCAGCAAGGACATCTTCCGAATAGAAATTTAATCCGCATCCTTCAACTACTCCTTTCCTGATTTCCAAATTTTGGATGATTTTAGCACTGGCATTCAAATTGTTGACCCGAGCAGATCTCCATGCAGAGAAGCTTTCATTTCGCAAACTCCAAAATCTTGACCAAGTGTTCATCATCAAAAAAATACAACTCTTTAAACTAGGACTTCTGTCCCAGCCGCAGCCCAGCTGATCAATTGAGTTTTCTTATTCTAAAATCAACTCTTCTCATCCTAAACAGGATTTCAGTTCACTCCTCTGTTTCAATCGCACTTTTCCGCATCAATACATCTATTTTGTTTCTCAATCAACTTTGTGAGTTTATTTTGTCAGTTTGACATCTTTTTCTCACAAATATATATATATATTTTTTTTAATCTATATTTTTTCCAAAAGGTGTTCAAGCTCAGTTGGAAGGGTTGGTGGAAAACAGGCCATTTCACTGCATGCAGATTGTTTTGCTGTTGGCAAGGGAACAGTCATGCATGAGATGATGCACACGGTGGGATTTTACCATGAACAATCCCGCATGGATCGCAACAACTCCATCAACATTTACTTGAAAAACGTTATTCCAGGTAAGACCATCAGGTGGCGCCAGTTTCTCGGCTTGGTTCTTGAAATATCCATAATTTCATCACTTGTTAGTTTGCATCTGCGGAATGTCTGACATCATTCAATGTAGCATGAGAATTTTGTACCATGCATCATTACTCATTATTACAGAGGGTCATTATTTAATAAAAGTACTAATTTTCAACAGAGTGTAGAAATTAAAAGAGAATTTAGAATTTAAAACATGCTTCACAATTTTAAAAATAACTCAAAATTTAAAACAGAATTTAAAATTTAAAACATCAGGACAAGCTGTTCAAAATTCTTTCCTGACATTCACAATGAAAAGAAAAAAAACCTTTGATAGAACTGATAAATTAGCAGGGTACTTCAGAAGGCTCTCAATTTCCTGAAATGTCATGATTTAAAAAAAATTGGATAGATATAAATTCAACTTTTTGCTTTCTCATTTAAATAATTGCAATGTCCTGAGAAATGACTGAGAAGTCTAAAATCAGCAAATGCATTCAACAACTGAATCATTTCACATTTCCAATAGTTTCCACTTTCTTTACAAAAATTTAGTAGATTAAAAAATTAATCTAAAAAACCATGTTTTCAAAAAGCAAAAAATAACCTTAAACGTGGTGCGCATGGAGATTGTTGGGAAGAAGTGAAATACAAATCAGTACATTGACTCCAAATTAGTCCTCTTTGTTATTCATTGTTATACTATGCATAACTGACATGCTTCTATACTCCACAGATTTTTGGACAAAAAAAAACTTCTTGTCAATTTCATTTTTCTTTCTCCTAAGGTCACGAATTCAACTTTCAAGCTGAACCTTCCAGAACATTTGGCCTTGGCTATGATTATGGTAAGTACTGTTCTGGAAAAAACAATAAAATTAATCCCACAAAGTATTTATGAAAGCGTAATTCAAGAGGATCATTTTACTCAAATGATTAAAATTATCTATGACAAATTGAGCCGGAATATGTGAGACAGGGCCTATTTGAGAAAGGGCCGATTTGAGACAGGGACAGTTTGAGACAGAGACAATTGGAGACAGAGACAATTTGAGACAGAGCATTTGACAGGTTTTGAGACAGTAGAAGAATTCTCAAAATTACTTTCCTGTGTTTCTCCCTAATATCTCATATTGAGGGTGTGAAATGGAACAAAAATTGCCTTTTTTGTCTGAAGATAGTGTGAATGAACATCACATGAGCAGAATCAGAGGTTCTTGTTGTTATTGGGATTTTTGAAAAAAAAAAAACCCCCCAAGCTAGAACCCAATTAAAAAGCATGCTTTGGAAATGGAGTCTTTTCAATTATCCCTTACAGTATACTGAAATTTTCTCATCAACAGGCTCAATCATGCATTATCCAAAATACGCTTTCTCCATTGCACCAGGAACTAAAGCCACCATTTTACCAAAAAATAGCACAACAATCACCATTGGACAAAGGGTCGACTTCAGCAAGGTACTTGGCCAAAATTCATTCATTTCCTCTTTTTTCATACATTTTCTCAAAATTTCTATACTATGACTTGTCAACATCATCATGCTCAAGATTCCATTCTGATGAATATTTGCAGACTGACATTTCCAAGCTCAACCTCATGTACAAATGCAAGGTCAAGGATGCCATGAATGAAGGCAAGTCTTGTTTTGCATGTTCAGGAATAATAATAATAATTGCCATGAACTTATGCATGAACATTTGTCCCCTTTTTTGGCAGGCACAGACAAAAATGGCCACTGCCAATTCTGGGCTTCTGAAGGAGAATGCGACACTCACAAGGAATTCATGGCTGAAGAATGTCCCGAGTCTTGCGCCAATCAGTGAATGATTCGATGAAGAAATATTGAATTCCGTCAGAAATTCAACCCCGGAAAAAAAAGACAAAATACACGTTGATGAAAATCGAAAGGATTTATGCAGGAATCATTCCATAAAAGTCTTTTTTTTTTAATCGACACAACCGGAAGTTCTGTCCACTGCAGATTAACCCGGAAATAGTTTTTCTTAAATCATATTTCACTTGCCTATTTTCTTCAACAGTTCATCACTTAATTTTTTCTCAAAGAAAAAAAATCTTTGACACATGATAAAAGTATAATTTACAGGTTAACCTTGAACTCATTGAAAATACATTCCAATACACAATAAAAAAACAGTATTGTCCAGCGTTTCATTTTATTAACATGTTTTTATTAACTCCCTTTCTTGTCCGTTTGTTTGTCTGGATCAAATTTTGCAACTCAAATTTTGCTCACTTCTGGACTAGCTAGCAAGCTGAAACTTTCAGGATAGTACAAATGAAATAGATGTGCGCCTTGTTTAAGGTTATTTTTTGCTTTTTGAAAACGTGGTTTTTTAGATTAATTTTTTCATCTACTAAATTTTTTTTCTTCCTTCTTATTTTCATGAAACTCATGAATGGAAAAATTCTCCTCAGACATATTATAGTGAGAAATTGTTTCGTTGGCTTATAAAAAACGTGTAGCAATCAATAAATCCGTTGGGGTCCAGAACTACTCTGCGATTTTTTGTCATCATCACCGGCACAAAATTGGATTCCCGAAATAAAAAAAATCAAATTTCTACTGAATTCCAACTGATTTTGATAAATTCTCACATACAGTATTTATCTTCATTTAGAACTTGACAAAAGCCTCGTGAGCCAAAAGCAGAAAATAAAATATAAAAAAATATGCAGTATACTCTAATAATCATATACAGTACAGAGGAAAATAGTTCAGGAACCTTACTTTTTTTAACATCGCAAGGAAATCAGATTTTTTTTGTCTACCCTGTATAGATCCATTGATGATTATATCATCTCAAAATTAGCCACTGCTCTGACTTGAAATAAAAATAACATAATCCTCTTCCAGCTCAAAAGATTTATAAAAATTATACATACAAATTGAAATTTGAAGGAGGAATCATGCGGTCAAATGTATTTTTCAAAACAATAATTAGCCTGGGAAAATGCAAAAATTTGCATAAAAGTCGAGTAAAACTCATTGGCACTTCAGTTATCTCACCATTGAAGACTTGATAGCTGCAAAAAATTTTGGCAAGAGATTCTATCTTCTTATAGAGGCTCAATTTAAAAAAAATAAATACTGATTTTTTTCCTTCTCTGTTTCCGACTGTTTTTTTTTCTTCAGAGTTCACTTTCTGTTGAAGACTAAGATTCAACAACGAAGAGAAAAATGTATAGGAATATAAATTCAAACACAAGGATTAGCCTGAGGTTGGCTGGAATTTTTAAAAGAACACTTTTCATTTATTCTTGTCCCAATGAAAAGTTTAATCACGTCATAGAATTTCGGATCTTTCACGCAAATATAATTCATTTCCACGCGTCACAGGAGCGTAAATTCGTAATTTCGGACAAGGTTCTTCGAGAGAGGACGGATGCAGTGTTTTTCGAGCTCGTTACGGTTCAAGATTTGGCAGTGGTTTGAATTCCAGTTTTTTTTTATGGTGGCTTCAGTGGCTTGTTTCTGATAGGTTCGAAGAACGAATTCGAAGAAGATGTTCATTATATGGTCCTACGGGTTTTCAAGGATTACGGGAGACGACTTTTATTCCCTGGTCTGAGGGAAGATTTGAGAACCCAGGACCTGTTTCAGAGATGAAAGAGGTTTATTTTATTAATTTACACAGGATTCCTTCCGTTTTTAATTTATATTTACTTGGGTGCTAGTTTTCCAACAAGCCAAGGACAACTTTGGCGCAACAACAAAAAACAAACAATGAAACCCCAGAACTCGGCGATTTTTTTAGACATGGCGATTTCTGAAGACCAGTGTGAGATGGCAAAGGATGGAATTTCGAAAAGAGAATTTCATAGAAAAAATAATAATTCATTACACAGAGGATACATATAAAAATGAGCGAGTGCATGTAAATGAGCGCCAATTGCAAAGGCGGACATTTTGAAATCCCTCGCAATGATGACGTCATTTCAAAAAAAAGCGCCAATAATGAAAATAAAAATTTGCGGAAATAATAATAAACCCGATGTGTTGAAAAAAGTTTTTCAAAAATCAGAAAAAGTGTACTATTTATGTGGGGAAATGCTCCAAGCAAGATTTTAAAAGAAATACATTTTTCTCACCCCATGCAACCATGACAGATCTAGAGCATTAAAACATTTCAACAGATGTTCACTGTTATACAGGAAATGTAAGTTGAAAGAAAATCTGCATCAAACATACTTGTCAGAAAACAAATTTTCAAAGTCAAAGTGGGCTTCCATGAAGATTGCATGCCAGAAAAATTTTTTTGCACAGAAAGCAAGCCATATTCCCTCAAATGTAAAACCCCCCAAGTCAATTTCTTGAGGCATTCAACTATGACTAAAGGGCAATTCAAAAGTACTAAATTTAGAGGGACTTTAAAAGAGCTTTTGTGAACAAGAACTTCTTATTCTACCTACAGCCACAAAAACTGCTTCTGAAGTCAGCACACAGAGGTCTCTGATTACTCAAGCCATGGAACTATTTTATAACCTCACATATGCATCAAGTTTGTTCCCTGTAAAGAAACCTACACTGACTGGGTAATTATGTACAAAGACTCCAAGTGAGCACAGTATACATGATTTTAAATGTTTTGTCAATCTTATTGGATGAAAGCAGATTTACTTGATTCTTAATAAACACATTTCCACATGATTGCATTCAGTTGACTGTTTCATAGCAAATTTGCATTTTAATATGGGTGAATAAAACTATGAAGAGGCCAAGAGCTGAAGGCGCACACTGCCTTTACAAATTTAAATAAATTTTTCACCTGCACAATAGCATATTTGATAATTTTGAGACAGTCTCAAACCCTATACTAGATATAAAAAAGAAATTGAAAAACCTCCAACAAAAATACTTCTACTTATTTCCTGATATGAATTTGATCTTATATTGGAAGAATGTTATCTGGTCTCAGAAATGAATATGGTTGTCAGTTTGAATGTGAAGGATGCCCTACTAGAATGTCATCTGTTGAACTCAGTTTTATAATTTCCAGTTGAAGAGGTGAACTCCACATTCAATTGGACAGTGAATAAAAATTTCAATTTTACCAAAAATAGTATAAACCATATGATCTGCAGTGCTCATATTTTACCACCTCTTATCCCTTGGAACACTCAAGTCTGTTTCTTCACAAAAGTTCAGTCCAAAACAATTAAAACTTACCATCTGGTCATTTATAGCTGGAAACCCTATATAAATAAATTGGTAACTTCCTGCCCATAAGGAGGCTTATTTTCATCCAGAGTAAATTTTTTTTGGTCAGCAGCATGTTCAGAGCCCAGAACAGTATTAAACATACAATGTAGGCACTGCAATTTGCTTATGGATTAGAGGAAGATGGAAATAATGTATGAGTACAACTAAGTGCAACTGTGCCATTCTGTTTCTGGCCTGCCTTATATTGTCATGCAACAGTTTATGGGCTTGTTGCCATGACATCAAAGAAGGAAGAAGAACGTTGCTGGGGAAGATCAATAATTGCTTCATTGCTTTTGTTCTTCTTGCTCATCAAAATATCCATGGACTGCTCACTACATGCATTTCCTGTCCAATGCACATTTCAGCACTTCAAAAAAAATTCAACAAGACAATTTTAAAATTTAAATATGTGGATTTTCAATTGTATGCTGAATGCCTTAATTTTTCTTCTGAAGAATTTCTGTCTACAGTACTTGACATTCACATACCCCAAATTCCCAAAACACCCTTCATTCTAATGTGCTTCATGATAATATGGTGAAATCAAGCCATAATTATCAACTTAGGTATCATTGGGAAATGTCTTTGTAGAGTGAATCATGCTTGAAAGCTGTTTAGAACTGCTTTGCACTGAGGAATGCTCCAAAAAACTTCCTGACTAAAACATTAGCTTTGTAAGCTTGTTTATGTTGCTTTTGCCTATTGAAAATGCAGCATCTGATCTTTAAAATATTCTCCTCTTGTAATCTATAAAAATTCATTGCTTCATGAATCCTTGATTTTAAAAATACAAAAAGTATGCTACAGTATAGTGTATTTCAAGATGATAATCTTTGTTATAGACCTATTTTAAAAAGCTGGTTTATTTGGCAAAACTGCCAGAACTGTTGGAAAGTTTCTTGCATTAAAATAAGGTCAATATAAGGAGATTCATTGTGACAGCATTTTACTGTGATTGATTTTGTGGCTACTTTCCCTGATGAAGAATACTGATAATATTTATGACAAAGGAAAGGATGCTTTTTTCATTGATCAAGTTAAGCACTGCACACTGTTTATGGTGGCTATTTCCTCCCATACCTGAGGCCCATAATTTGCATTTATTTCATCATACATCACTCTCCTCCTTTTATTATTGTACCTTGCTGCGTGATTTTACATTTTTCATATCCAGAGCACAAAACACAGCTACATCAAGATTCAAGTTTCATTACTGTGAACTCCAACATCATCCTTGTGCTGAGAACTGTTACCAGAAAGGTTTGGTTAGAAAATTTACTCTTTAGCATTGCTGCCTGTGCAAAGTATGGAATTTCGAAAAGAGAATTTCATAGAAAAAATAATAATTCATTACACAGAGGATACATATAAAAATGAGCGAGTGCATGTAAATGAGCGCCAATTGCAAAGGCGGACATTTTGAAATACCTCACAATGATGACGTCATTTAAAAAAAAGCGCCAATAATGAAAATAAAAATTTGCGGAAATGATAATAAACCCGATGTGTTGAAAAAAGTTTTTCAAAAATCAGAAAAAGTGTACTTTTTGTGTGGGGAAATACTCCAAGCAACATTGCAAAAAAACACACATTTTTCTCCCCTCATGCAACCCTGACAGCATTAAAACATTGCAACAGATGTTCACTGTTATACAGGAAATGTAAGTTGAAAGAAAATCTGCATCAAACATACTTGTCAGAAAACAAATTTTCTAAGTCAAAGTGGGCTTCCATGAAGATTGCATGCCAGAAAAATTTTTTTTGCACAGAAATCAAGCCATATTCCTCAAATGTAAAACCCCCCAATTGAATTTCTTGAGGCATTCAACTATGACTAAAGGGCAATTCAAAAGTACTAAATTTAGAGGGACTTTAAAAGAGCTTTTGTGAACAAGAACTTCTTATTCAACCTACAGCCACAAAAACTACTTCTACATCAGCACACAGAGGCCTCTGATTATTCAAGTCATGGAACTATTTTATAACCTCACATATGCATCAAGTTTGTTCCCTGTAAAGAAACCTACACTGACTGGGTAATTATGTACAAAGACTCCAAGTGAGCACAGTATAAATGATTTTAAATGTTTTGTTAATCTTATTGGATGAAAGCAGATTTACTTGATTCTCAATGAACACATTTCCACATAATTTTATTCAGTTGACTGTTTCATAGCAAATTTGCATTCTTAATTTGGGTGAGTAAAATTATGAAGAGGCCAAGAGCTGAAGGCGCACATTGCGTTTACAAATTTAAATAATTGTTTTCACCAGCACAATAGCATATTTAATAAATTTGAGACAGTCCTAACCCCTACTAGATAAAAAAAATGAAAAACCTTCAACAAAAATACTTCTGATTATTTTCTGATCTTAAATTGATCTTATATTATTGGAAGAATGTTATCTGGTCTCAGAAATGATTGTGGTTGTCAGTTTGAATGTGAAGGATGCCCTACTAGAATGTCATCTGTCGAACTCAGTTTTATAATTTCCAGTTAAGAGGTGAACTGCACATTCAATTGGACAGAGAATCAAAATTTCAATCTTACCAAAAATAGTATAAACCATATGATCTGCAGTGCTCATGTTTTACCAACTCTTATCCCTTGGAACACTCAAGTCTGTTTCTTCACAAAAGTTCAGTCCAAAACAATTGAAACTTGCCATCTGGTCATTGATAGGTGGAAACCCTACATAAATAAATTGGTAACTTCCTGCCCATAAGGAGGCTTATTTTCATCCAGAGTAAATTTTATTTGGCCAGCAGCATGTTCAGAGCCCAGAACAGTATTAAACATACAATGTAGGCACTGCAATTTGCTTATGGATTAGAGGAAGATGGAAATAATGTATGAGTACAACTAAGTGCAACTGTGCCATTCTGTTCCTGGCCTCCCTTATATTGTCATGTAACAGTTTATGGGCTTGTTGCCATGATATCAAAGAAGGAAGAAAAACGTTGCTGGGGAAGATCAATAATTGCTTCATTGCTTTTGTTCTTCATGCTCATCAAAATATCTAAGGACTGCTCACTGCATGCATTTCCTGTCCAATGCACATGTCAGCACTTCAAAATAATTCAACAAGACAATTTTAAAATTTAAATATGTGGATTTACAATTGAATACTGAATGCCTTAATTTTTCTTTTGAAGAATTTCTGTCTACAGTACTTGAAATTCACATACCCCAAATTCCCAAAACACCCTTCATTCTAATGTGCTTCATGATAATATGGTGAAATCAAGCCATAATAATCCACTTGGGTATCATTGGGAAAGGTCTTTATAGAGTTAATCATGCTTGAAAACTGTTCAGAACTGCTTTGCAATTAGGAATGATCCAAAAAGCTTCCCAACTAAAACATTAGCTTTGTAAGCATATTTATGTTGCTTTTGCCAGTGAAAATGCAGCATCTGATGTTTAAAATATTCTCCTCTAAAAAAATTTAAGAAGACAAAAAGTATGCTACAGTATAGTGTATTTCAAGATGATAATCTTTGTTATACACCTATTTTAATAAGCTGGTTTATTTGGCAGAACTACCAGAACTGTTGAAAAGTTTCTTGCATCAAAAGGTCAATATAAGGAGATTCATTGTGACAGCCTTTTACTGTGATTGATTTTGTGGCTACCTTCCCTGATGAAGAATACTGATAATATTTATAACAAAGGAAAGGATGTTTTTTGTCATTGATCAAGTTAACCACTGCACACTGTTTATGGTGGCTGTTTCCTCACATACCTGAGGCCCATAATTTGCATTTATTTCATCATACATCACTCTCCTCCTTTTATTATTGTACCTTGCTGCGTGATTTTACATCTTTCATATGGTCTCGTGTTTTGTGTCGATGTAGTTCTAAGTTCAAAGTAATGACACTTGAGGTTGTAGTAGGAACACGACTCTTGACAATGGTCTTTCCAAACCAATCTTTTAAATGAGAAATCGTAACGACGGACTTTTCAAGACAACTCCAATGTAGAAGATTTTCTGAATACAAAATTGAAGCCCTTTCATTTATTCAAACAAACCAGAATGCCACTGAAAATGATTTCTTCATTTTCTCAAAACATTGAGTATGACACCTTAGAATAAACATCTGTTTCAATGTCCACACAAAATATTTCTGAGTACTGGTTCCCCTAAAATACTTACTCTCAAACTGCCCACAGTTTCAGCAGGGTTCTCAGCACACACAACAGGCACATCAGTCTCAACCAAATCCTTTTTCTCTCTAAAGGCCACCCCAAGGTCCACCAAGGCCACACCCACATCCTCACATTCAAGGGCCTCTTCAGCAGGTTCAAGTACAACAGTGAATCTAACTAAAGCCTTATTGCTTTCAATTCCTGATTTGATTACTTCTTTTTGTGATTCAGTTATTGGAATGACTTTGGTAAAGTTGTACTCCATTGGAGATATTGTAGAAATCAGCTGCGCTTCTGGAGTCTGGAGTTCTTCTTGGTCCACATAAGGAAATTCAAACTCAACAAATATTTTGTCACCAGGCTTTCTGTCTGTGGTTAGGCTCGTGTTTGAGCTCAGGTTCAGGTGGTGCACAATGAAAGTCATGGTAGCAGGTGTCCTCATGTCTTCCTGAACTTGTTCAATCCTGCCATCATGAACAAAGGAGTCAGCAAATTGGTGAAATTTCACATATTCATCAGCAAGCAGGCAATTACCTGGAATCTGGCAAAGAGCTCAAGTGCTGCTCATCAATATCTGACTCAGGCAGAGAGGACTCAACACTGGCTTTCCTTTGCTGAGACTCAACAAAGTCCTTGTCATCTTTCACAGCTTCAGACCTGACAAAATTTGGTTTCACTGACACAATCTCATCATCAGTGGACTCATAAGAGGACTCCTGAATAGGATGGCGCAATTTCTGCCTAGCAGCAGGTGTTGGGCGCTTGGGTTCAGAGAATAAAGCTGTCTTGTTTGCACCTGTCACCCAGCGCACCCAATAGTGCACATGACTGACTTCAAGGTCATACAGCCTCTTGGATCTTGTGGTAGCAGAGGAGGGTCTCATAGCTTGGAATAAGGTGGCTGTACCATGAAGCCGGTTATCTGGGAATCTCAGCAGATCCCTCAAAGACAAGTCACACTCAGCCACTAGTTTTGATTTGCTGTTGCCTGCTGTCAAATCCCTAATCTCCATCTTGATAGCTCTATCTACAAAAGAAGCAAGAAAAAGTCTCACACATTGTGAACAAGCAATACTACATGAAGATTCCTACCTGACTCAATCTTCTCTCTTACACCAGGGTCCACAGACATCCTGTAAAAAGCAGTGGTTTGCAAGTCATAACTGCTCATATTTGGTGAGTCTAGTTGTATCCTGAAAAACCATTTGTTCAGGAAGGCAATGGCAAGGATCCTACTGGAGCAGTCTTCTGAAGGATCTGGTAAAGTGTTGAGCAAGTCTAGGCGCTCCAAGTGCAGGCACAGTACAGTTTGGTCTCTACTGACCACCAGCTGGTCTATGAGAGACTCTGGAGGGGTTGATGATGATATGTAGAGGGTTCTCAGCTGCAAAATGACAAGTATGATTAGTCAATTTTGTGGCAGAAAACTGGGGCTTCTTGAGCTACCTGGGTTTCAAGATCAGATAGTTTCTTATCCTTGACTAAAATAGCTGACTTGAGTTTCTGCTTTTCACTGGCCTCCACTTTTTGCAAATCTGTCAGTCTGCGCTTGTATGCAGTCACTTCCTTGTCATATCCTTCATTGAGCTTGTGTTGAACTATCAGCAAGGTTCTGGTTTTCTCCAATTCTGCATTCACTTTCAGAAACTGGAGCTGCAATAAATTCAAAACTGCATCACAATATACAGGTGACATATCATGATGTGGAAAATACCTGTAGATCTGCAAATTCTCTTTCTTTAGTGGTATCAAAAGTTTGCTTTGGTGAATTGATGTGTTTTGGAGAAGTGGTGACTGAAGCCTCAGTGTTGGTCTCCTTGTTGAAAACCATGGCTTTTGATGGTACAAAAGATGACTGATTCACTTTAGCAGCAATCAACTCCTGGTCTTTTCTTTGCAGCTGGTCAACAAAATGCTGCACTTGTTCTTCTGTAGTCCTCAGTCTCCTTTCAGCAGTTTCATAGTCACTCAACAGCCTTGTTTTCTCTTTCAATGCCTGTTCAAAGCTGTATCTCAGGTCTCCAAGTTCAGAGTGCAGTTGTCTCTCAGAGTCTGCCAACTTTTCAGCTAGCTTTCTTTCCTTGCTGGTGAGCTCAGCTTCCCTTTCAAATGCAGCTGACACCAATTGCTCATTGGCTTCCCTGAGAGACCTGTTTTCTTCCATTAGACTTTTGCATTGTGACTGAAGCTCTGATGAGCCTCTCTCCAGAGATGGGACCATCCTGAGTCTTTCTTGGAGCTGCAGGCTTCTGCTTTGCTCCTGACTCAATTGTTCACCCAAGTCTTCAATTTGAGCAATGAGGCCTGAATTGGCCTTCTAGTACCGACGAGGACAGAGACAGTTTCAGGAGTAGACATTTTCATTAAAACTTTTTGTAATAGGTACTTAACCGTAAAACTTGTTCGTTTCAACTACTACCTTTGTTAAACAGTCTTCAAAGTTCTTAGTTTTTGTTCACTTGATCACAATTTTTTAATATTCAATCATTAGCTTTTTGGAAACTCCTCCATCAAAATCTTACTGCCAACTTGTGTTGAATGGTGAAAACAATTGAATAATATCAATTTTGAAAGAAATAAATCAGGATTAATCTGAACTTTTTGGTCCTTCCTATAGCTACACTTTGTGCATGAGTAAATTAAATTGCCTATTTCACAATTCTTCCAAATTGAATAAAGTTTCATTCACAGTGACTGTAACATACATGTGTCATAACTGTCATATAACTGAGTTAAACTTCATGATGCATTTTTAAAATTGTATTTAGTCTTTGAAATCAATCAACATAGAAAAGGGTGAATATTGGCAATTTTCAGTAGGCCCAACTTTGCATTTGGAACAATTTAATGTACTGCAATTGAAACTGTTCTTCATGTACCTGAGTACGCAAAGAAGCCACTAGTTGATCCCTAGAGCTGAGTTCAGCTTGCAGCTTGAGGACTTGAACATTTGTTTTGCAGCCAGTTTCCAACTCTTCTTTCTTGCCCTCCAAGAGCTGCTTTCTCAGGCCAAAGAGCTCTTCATCATGTTCCATCTCTTTCTTCTGGAACTGCTCTCTAATGTCTTCAAGCTCAGTTTCTCTGTTGACAAGCTGTTGGAAAACGGATCATCATCATAAAAGCTGGGATGAAATCAATGCACCAAATGGATTTTCTAAATTAAATGATTATACATACTATCAAAAATAATCATGTATTTATTACAGATGAACCTTTCTAAGTTGAACTTCAAGGGACCATCAAAAAAATTTGACTTAGGGAGGTTTCAACTTAGGGAGGTTTTGAATTAGCTACAATACAAAGCCCATTTGTGTTGGGATACACAGAAAAATTGCTCAAAATTGTAAAATGTAATCTTCTGAAGCTGAAATTACTTCTTAAATGAGTTGAAAGCACCCTGAACTTGGAGGCAGGCTTCATTTGTCCAATCAACTCTCTCACCTCATTTTCAAACAAATCAATTTATGTTTTATTGCATTTTTTCTTTCCTGCATCAAGAAAATAAAAGTCAAAAGGCCACATAAAATTTGACTTATGGAGGTTTAAGGGAAAAAGCCTTTGACTTAGGGAGGTTTTAAATGCATTAGTTCTAAGGGGATTCAGACAGGACCTGAAAAAAATTTGGCTTAGGGGGGTTTTGACTTAGGGAGGTTTGAGTTATTGAGGTTCACCTGTATATGATTTGAAGCTGAACTTGGAAAAATGGAATTTGAACTCAAGCTATTCTCTCACCTGGAGTTTGAGGTCTTCAACTTCCCTTCCAAGCTGAAGGTTCTCCTCCTTGGCTTCTTCCAGAAGCTGTACAGCCTTTTGTGAAAACTCAGCCATGAGATCTTGGGGACCTTATTGGCAATTTTCAGTAGGCCCAACTTTGCATTTGGAACAATTTAATGTACTGCAATTGAAACTGTTCTTCATGTACCTGAGTACGCAAAGAAGCCACTAGTTGATCCCTAGAGCTGAGTTCAGCTTGCAGCTTGAGGACTTGAACATTTGTTTTGCAGCCAGTTTCCAACTCTTGAAAGAACGGGAGGTTCTCGACGAAAGAGTCCGGTTTCTCGAGAAGTAGTACAAGGTAGAGAAAGAAGACCTTGACGAGAGATTACAGAAGTTCGAGTCAAAGAGACAACTGTTCGACAACCTTTTGAGATCATCATCATAATAGCTGGGATGAAATCAATGCACAAAATGGATTTTCTAAATTGAATGATTATTCATACTATCAAAAATAATTATGTATTTGTTATATGATTTAAAGCTGAACTTGGGAAAATGGAATTTGATCTCAATAAGCTATTCTCTCACCTGGAGTTTGAGGTCTTCAACTTCCCTTCCAAGCTGAAGGTTCTCCTCCTTGGCTTCTTCCAGAAGCTGTACAGCCTTTTGTGAAAACTCAGCCATGAGATCTTGGGGACCTCCCATCCCTGGTCTCAGGTCAACATGTCTTCTCCTGCCCTCAGGGCCTCTTTGCCTCCCAGTCACCATGTTGGATGGGGAATCCACTGGCTGTGGTCTAGCACTTGATACCCTGGTGGGCTTCTGATGAGGCATTTTGACAGACAACAGCTGATACTTCATTGCCTTCACCTTCTCCTCAAGGAAGGCATTTTTAGACTCAAGATGGGACACTTTTTCAAGAATCTCACGGGATCTATTTGTACTTTTTCCCTTGAATGACATTTGCTTGCTGAAGATGATGATCTAGATCATCATCTGTTTCCTTAATTTTTTCTTGTTCTTCTCTTTGGAAAAGAACCTATACACTGACCACATCAAGTCCTGAGCAATAAAGAAAGGAATAGAGCATTCAAAACAACAATCATGAATGTTTGAAGAAAAAGCCACTCAAAAATTCACAATAAGAGAGACACTTTCCCTTTCAATAGGGGATTCCTTTTTTCTGGACCAACTTCTGCAGAATACAGTATTGCCACTCCCATAGAACCAGCACATTTTAAAAATGTATTTAAAAAAAAATAATAATAATCCAGAAATTTACTAAACTGGACTTTGTATTATAATTTTCTTTTTACTTTCCTTCAACTCCTTGTTTTTCAATATCACAAAATGTTCACTTCATTATCACATCATAATCAGAATAACAGAAATCAATTTTATATTTAAAAAAAAACACCAGGATAATTAGACACTTGCAAAATAAGACACCAAAACACAGTCCAAGTGAATATTTGATGTTGAGAACCACGTGGTCGCAGAGGGGGACAGGTTAGGAATGAATGAGGTTGCTGGCAGGGACAGGAAGTGTAGGGTTCCAGAACCCCAAACCCAGAACCCCGACCAGGTGCTGCTTTCCCCCCTCTCTGGTGTCGGTTATTCCCATCCACTTCCTGGCCTCATTCTCCCTTGTCATCCCCTTGCACACCTTAGGTGTGGAATACAGGGTGTTTGAATAAAATAAAATAAAATAAAACAGTCATTTATCCTGTGTGAAATGTATCCTGATATATCATAATACTGTACAATTCTCATACGTTTGTATTTGACACTGTTCATTTGCGTAATTAAAAAAAGTCTTATTGGGAGCACTGATTTAATTAATTTTAATTGACTTACAGGACAGTATTTTCATTCAAAAATTATCCTACTCATGTTTAATTTATTCGTAATTTTCGCGATGATGAATTAGAGATTAAACTTGCGTCACATGGACGAAGACTGCAAAATACTAAAAAAAATAATAATAATTGCGTGCTAAAAAAACTGATTTAATTATCTTTAATTGACTTACGGTACGCAACTTTAATTAAAAAATTATCCCATCCCTTTTTATTTTATGGGAAATCGTCGAGATGTTGAATTAGAGATTAAACTTGCATCACATGAAGGAAGACTCTGCAAAATGTAAAAAAATTATTGCGTGCTAAAAAAAACTTATGCAATTATTTTTAATTGACAGTACAATACTTTCATTCAAAAATTATCCAACTCCTGTGTTTTTTTTTTTTTTTGAAATCGTCGCAATGTTGAATTAGAGATTAAACTTGCGTCACATAGACGAAGACTGCAAAATGTAAAAAAAATAATAATAATTGCGTGCTAAAAAGAAACTGATTCAATTATTTTCAATTATGACTTACAGCACAATACTTTCATTCAAAAATTATCCTGCTCCTGTGTATTTTATGGGAAATCGTCGAGATGTTGAATTAGAGATTAAACTTGCGTCACATGGACGAAGACTGCAAAATGTAAAAAAAATATTTGCGTGCTAAAAAAATTGATGCAATTATATTTAATTGACTTACAGTACAATATTTTCATTCAAAAATTATCCCATCCTTGTTTATTTCATGGGAAATCGTCGTGATGTTGAATTAGAGATTAACCTTGCGTCACACGGACGAAGACTGCAAAATGTAAAAAAAAAAATTGCGTGCTAAAAAAAATGATGCAATTATTTTCAATTGACTTTATTCAAAAATTATCCTACTCCAGTGTATTTCATTGGAAATCGTCGCGATGATGAATTAAAGATTAAACTTGCGTAACATGAACAAAGACTGCAAAATGTAAAAAAAATAATAATTGCGTGCTGAAAAAAAATTTGCGCAAATATTTTTGCAACGATTTCAAAAGGAATTTCGTCCCGAATCACTCACGCAGTACTTCTTGCCAAGTGTACTACACAATATGGTACTTTTATTTTCGAAGGAAGAGAAAAATAAATAATAAAAAACCCACTCCGTTAAGCGTTTTGCGGTGGCGGAAACCAGCAGCACTGGGTCACGAGAGAGAGGGCTACAAAGAAAAGTCACGCGAGTTTTCTGCACACACACACACACACACACACACACACACACACACACACACACACTCAAGTCCGGAGCATAAAATCGGCGAGATACTGTCGAACAATTTTCTTTTCGCCTGATGGGCCAGATTGGCGGAATGGTCACTTCTTTCCTCATTCCGGCATTTCCACCCCCACCCCGAGATTGATTGGGATCCCATTGACCAAACAAGGGATGGAAAAAGCACAGCACAGCACGTATATATATATATGAGGAGAAAAGTTTATTATTTATTTTTTTTGACGACGACGATTTATGAGGAACCGTACGAAGGGGAGAGGGTTCAACTTCCGCGTTTTATTTTTCCGTCTTTTCTTCCTCCGTCTGAAATCTGTTTGATTTTATTTTTTGCACTGATTTTTTTTATCATTATTTGGAAATGTACGTAACGGAAGGGACATAATGACACGTGGTTGTCGTTGATGAATCACTAGGTGAATGAGTGGTTTTTGCTCGTTTCCGAAAAATTTCCGCGTGTCTCCATGCTGGGCGCATGGAGGCGAAATATCGATTCCTTTCGGCACAGCACCCAGCATATATATATATATATACTGTATATATTTGTACAGTACAGTACAGTATACGAGGGCTGTTCAAAAGTTTTGAAACTTTTTGGAATAGATACAAGGGAGCTTCAAAAATTAAAAATAAATGTTTTTCTTTATTACTTGCAATAGCCCCATCAACCTAATTACTCAATTTTGACATGATAATTGCAATGTTGTTGATTCAAGTGAATTACTTCCTGATTTTGCTTGTGGAAAAATTAAACCATTACCAATTTGTATCATCTAACATCCCCTTGGGACATGATAACATACCTCTTTTGACAAATTTAGGGCATTTTTATAAAAATGTCATCAAATTTTCAAAGGACACCTTTCAAAGTGGTGGCATTTCAAAGTGGTGGCATTTTTGCAGTATAAATATGTACAGTGAGAGCTTGAGAAGCGGACATAATTGGTGCATCACAAGTGTCCCTAAGCTGAAATGTCCCCAAGTGGAGTCTCATTTTCCCTTAGACTTACATTATATAATTTTTAATTGGTGTTTTATTGACAAAATACTCACCATAATTCCATGAAAATAAAAAATTTCTCCCAATTTAAACTGATTCCAATCTTCAATATATTTCAACACATCATGGACATTTGGGGAATTGCATACTGATACCTCTGTACAGTACATAGAAATGTTGGCATTCTCTGTAAAAATAACATTCAAGTGAAAAAGAGAGAAGGAAGACCATCTACGCTGGATGTAATTTTTTAAAATTAGCTAAATGGATGGTAAATTGGTGAGAGAAATGCCCAAGAACTGTTCTTACATCATTTTCAGGGTTGGAAATATCTGTTTCTTGTAATTTTTCCTGAAATGTATTTTCAGTTTTATCACAAAATATCCCTATGTTGAGTCAGTGTCCTCATGTCAGGCCTTTTTTATTAAACTTTTTTGAGAAAATAAGTGTCCCTATGTCAAATTGTCCTCATGTCAAGGTGTCTGCATGTGGGGTCTCACTGTACCTTGGTTGATGCATCACCAGAGCAACTTATCTTCTTATGCCCAGCATTTCACAGCAACAGAAATGAGGTTCAAACATATTTGGGACTCTAAAATTTCAATGAAAAAGACTCTTTCCAAAATCTTAGAGGTCCAAGACCATTTGTTCAACTTCTATGATTTCTCATCAAAGATTCTCTCCAAATTGTTTAATCAACTAAACCTTATCCGGGAGCAGGTTGAACACCTTGTGCTATAATTTGGGTTTATTGATTGCTTTATGCTGCAATTTGTATTACTGTATTGATATTTTGTTGTTGTGAACAAGGAAGGGAAGAAAGTTTACATATTTATATCAGTCGTGCAGATTCACTTTTTGGGATGTATTTTCTGTTCTTTTAATATCCATGCACAGGTTGTTCCTCTATTTTCCATTCTGATGCGAAGAATGTGTTTGACCTGGATGTGGGAACATTGTTTGAACCTTGTGAATGCTGAAAAGCGGAAAATAAAGCTTGCTGTTCAATTCAATTCAATAGCCCCATCAGTTGGCAACACTTCAGTGTTATTAAACATAATCTCCACCAATTTCAATGCCTTTTTCCATGCAATAAATCCAATGATTGAAATATTGCCAAAAATTGATATTTGTGTTATTCCTTGAGCAAGCTGCTCTTTGACAAAGGAAATGATGCTGTCATTGTCCCAAAAAATCAATCCCTTCCACAGAATTTTGCACCTTAATTCACAGAATTTTTTATCATTGATGTTTTTTCCATGGTTTAATTTATTTTTTTGAAAAAAATTCATTTCACTTAGTGACTCATTTTGGGTGTTCCTAGTGGTGAAGAGTGATCTAAAATGGATTGCTTTTTTTTTGGGACAATGACAGCATCATTTCTGTTGTCAAAGACCAGCTTGCTCAAGTAATGATGCAATTATCAATTTTTGTCACTATTTTGATAATTGGATTTATTGCATAGAAAAATACATCAAAATTGGTGGAGAGTGTGTTTAACAGCACTGCAAGTGTTGCCAAGTCATAAGGCTATGTGAGTAATATAAAAATTCATCTTTTTATATTTTTGAAACTCTGTTGGATCTATTTGTAAAAAGCTTCAAAACTTATGAACCAACCCTCATATACGGACAGTACAGTATATGTACATGCGGGTGCTGGCTGGCTGGCTGTTGGACTCCCATGTACCCCTCCTCCACCTGCGGGTTGTTCTGTGAGGGATCTACCTCATTAAAGGTGTGCTTACACAGCATTCCATTATTGTTTATTCCATATGAAGGGATGCTGATCTGAGGACTGGTGAAGGATAAGACTTTAAAACAGTTTTTTTTTTAATTACCAAGAAAATTGAGCAATTTTACCATGTTTTTCTTAATCCTCCCCATTTTTGATGAATGAATGAATGAACAGAACACTTTATTTGACGCTTTCATCATTTAATTAATTATTTTAAATTTTGAGTCTGAAAAACCTTTCTTCAAGCCCACTTTTCCATTTTTTGAAGACATTCCACTGTAGCTGCTTCATTGGATCCTGAATTAATTTTGCAGAAAAAAATGCAAGAGCTTTTCAAATACCTGCCATCCAAGCTGTCTTTCAATCAACACTTTTTTCAACATGCAAAAATTTTATGAAACTTTGCCAGTCCACAGAATTTTTTTTTGAAATTAGGGGAACACTGGCTCTATTCAAGGGCATCAAGAAACATTCAAAAATTGGAATCAATTTAATAGTGTACTAGACAATTCTCTCTTTATTTTCAAGGCGAACTTAGCTCAACACTAAAGTGTATTTTTTGAAGAATATACTTTATATAAACAAAAAAGCAGCTACTTGGTTTTTTTTTCAGAAATAATATGCAATTGCACACGATGATTCATCATGCAAACATTTCTCACACCACAATAGGGAAAAATGGTTTCCCAACTCAACTCCACTCTTCAATTAGGGGACTGGTCATTGTGCCGGTCGCACAACTCCGGGAACTCGAATTCGGAGACCCACTTTTTCTGTTTCCTCCCCCTGGGCCCCTCATGGGTAACCCTTGGCAACCAGGAGGGGGGGGGGGGGGGCAATGTCACTAACAACAGGGTCAATAAGCTCCATTCACACATACAGTAAAAGTACACCTTGACATGAGGACAATTTGACATTGGGACATTTATTTTTCAATCAAAAAAGGGCATAACAAAAGGCCCAACATATGGACACTGACTCAACATGAGGACATTGCATGTTAAAATTGCCAATAAATTTCACAAAAAGTTGACTTTTATTCAGCTTGATTAAAAGAAATAGATACTGTATTTCCAACCCTGAGATTTTTGCAAGAAAAGTTCTTTGTCATTTCTCCCATTATTTTTCCATCCATTCAGCTAATTAAATATATTACCTATTGCAATAGTTCCATTTTCAGGAACCAATTTAATGTTGCCAATCCCATAGAATCAGCACATTTTTAAAATTTATCTTGAATAAAAAAAAAGTAGTCCAGAAATTTACTGAACTGATGGACTCAGTATCAGAATTTGTTTCTGAATCTTTCCTTCAACTCCCAGTTTTCAGTATCCCAAAATGTTCACTTATTTATTGCCACATCATAATCACAATAATACAAATTAAAATTTTTTTTAACTCCAGGATCATCAGAAAAGTTTCAAAATAAAGCACCAAAACATTGTCCAAAAAGTGAATATTTGAAGTTGAGAACCTTGTCCCTTGAGTGTTTCGCATAACGAACGTTTCATCCAACACACAGTGGCCGAGAAATAAATTTGTGTTTGCTATACGAGAGGCACCCCGAGATGCGGACATAACCTATGGTGCTCATACCTTGTCCCCATGCATGTTGGGTTGTCCGCATGTCGGATCTCATTTTCCAATAGACTTGAACAGAACAAAAATGGGTCCCAAAAAAATGTACAGTGAGACCCCCCCCAGATGTAGACATAATTGGTGCATCAAGAGTGTCCCTAAGTCGAGTCTTGTTTTCCCATAGACTTACATTATATAATTTTTAATTGGTGTTTTATGGAAGAAATATTCTTCAGATTTCCATGAAAAAAATTTGTTTGCCACTTGAATTTGATTCAGTGAATATATTTTCAACTCAATAAGAACATTTGGAGCATTGAATATTATACCGCTGTACAGTATATTGAAATGTTGGCATCTACAAAAATAACATTCAAGTCACAAAGACAGAAAAAAGTCCCTCTATGCAATATGTAATTTTTTTAAATCAGCTGAATGGATAAAAAAATGATGGGAGAAATGACAAAGAATTTTTCTTGCATAAATCTCAGGGTTGGAAATATCTATTTCTTGCAATCAAGCTGAATAAAAGTCAATTTTTGTGAAATTAATTGGCAATTGTATCATGCAATGTCCTCATGTTGAGTCAGTGTCCATATGTTGGGCCTTTTTTTATGCCCTTTTTATTAAAAAAAAATAAATGTCCAAATGTCAAATTGTCCTCATGTCAAGGTGTACTTATACTGTATGTGTGAATGGAGCTTATTGACCCTGTTGTTAGTGACATTGCCTCCCCCCTCCTGGTTGCCAAGGGTTACCCATGAGGGGCCCAGGGGAGGAAACAGAAAAAGTGGGTCTCCCAATTCGGGTTCCGGGAGTTGTGCAACCGGCACAATGACCAGTCCCCTAATTGAAGAGTGGAGTTGAGTTGGGAAACCATTTTTCCCTGTTGTGGTGTGAGAAATGTTGGCATGATGAATCATCGTGTGCAATTGCATATTATTTCTAAAGAAGGAAAAAAGTAGCTGCTGTGTTGTTTATGTATATTCTTCAAAAAATTCACTTTAGTGTTGAGCTAAGTTCGCCTTGAAAATAAAGAGAGAATTGTCTAGTACATTATTAAATTGATTCCAATTTTTGAATGTTTCTTGATGCCCTTGAATAGAGCCAGTGTTCCCCAACCTTTTTTGGTCCCTCAGACCAGCAACATTTTCATGAAATTTTCTGAGGACCAGCAAATTTTCATACAATTTTTGCATGCTTAAAAAGTGTTGCTTTATTTGCAGCTTGAATGGCAGGTACTGTATTTGAAAAGCTCTTGCATAAAAAAAGACGTTTTAATTAAGTCCTAGGTTACTTCGTCGATGTCACCTTACAGAAGTTTTTTACCTTTTCACCCGAACTTCTTTCCAAAAAGTCTGAGTTTTAAATTTTATTAATTAATTTACTACTAAAAGTTTTTCTGAAGTATTACTGGGCAAAAAGCCAAGATATATTTTTCATGAGATGATTTTAACTTCCATTGTCTTGACAAAATAAAAAAAAAAAGATACTGTAATGCCCTTCATTGCTACTTGTGAAAAAGTCATTAGCCTGGAGACATTTCTGAAAGCATTCTTCTTCTTCATAACACTGTTTGGGGATACTTTTCTATAATGTGTGCAATTTGATAAATTTTCAAAGTGCATTTGGAGGATATATTCTATGTCAGCTGTTTTGTTGTTGTAAATAAACTCAGAATAATGTACTGTGGTTCTATGGAAAACAACACATTTTTGCTGCTTGCATCTGAACTCTTCTGTGGATAAACTTTTTTTATTACCTTTCATATGCTACAACAATTTATTTTTGTGTAGGTGAAACTGTGAAAGAGTGGCCTTGAGATTTTCAAGTGTGATGATTTCAAAGTGTTGTTTATAGCAAATTTGAGAAATAGGGAAATTGTTGTTTCAAGTCTGTCAGAAATTAAAACCTGACCACTTGAATTGCTAATAAACTTATTTAATTAAATATGCATTTTGAGTTACTGTATTTCCATTACCACTTATAAAACTGCTGGACTAAAAAATTTTCAAATTCTTCTACAAGCTTTTGAAGGGAAGTTCAGAGAAACATTTTGAGGAGTTTCAAAATCAACTCAATTTGCATGGATTTCATTTTTCAATATATATTGGCAATTTGACTCTGAAAGCCAAAATATGTCTTCTTTAATTTCTTAAAACTTTGTGCCATTTATTTTTTTTCATGTTGATAAATTCAAGTTTGACCATTACTTTTGTTCATCAGGAAATTGGCTTGACAATGTGTGGCTATTTATGTGAGTGAAATTTTTCAAAAAAGGAAGTCAAGGAATAAATTGGGATGAATTTGCCAAAGTGCAGCTATCTCATTTAATTAGTACTGTATTTTCAATAAGTCACACACTTGGAAATCCATACAATTTCCTTGACTTTTTTCAACTTTCTAAAAGCTAAAAATTTCTGGTCAGGTCCACTTCGCATCTGATCTAAAGTATGGTATGTTGCAAATATTTCAACGACTATATTAAATTTGATACGCTAGCTTTAGAGAACCCAAATTCCCCAGCAAATTTAGTCTTTCATTCTATTTGTGTGGGAATCTTGGAAGACCTTGGTTCCCACAGATGTTTGGCAGCCTCCAAGGCTGGATTTTATTACCAAGATCCTGTTGCTGTTTTTCATCCTTGAAGGACAGTTTTCTTGATTTCCAAACTTGACCATTTTATTACAGTCCGAATCAAACCTTTGTGTGAGAACGTCCTCCGAGATTTTGCAAAATTTGGTTGTGTTTCTGAATTATACCAACTTTAAAATAAGGTGTTTTGCACCCCGGTCGTAACCCAACCAAATCACTGTGTTTTATTTATCTAACTTCTATTCTAAACTTCTTAATTCAATTCAAACCTTTCATTTGTCGGGATTTATTCCCAACATGGTATGCAAATGATGAATGGACTGTTGATAATTATAATTGTTGTCAGTTGGAAGAGGAGTATATTTGAGGGATGAAACCTTGATTTTTTTTGCATCATCCCTTTGCCTGATGTAGACCCACACATTGACATTTGAATTATGTGCCAGACATAGTTTCATCATGAGTGAAATGATGAGAGGAATAATCGAGGCTCTGTCTCAAGAGCCCTTCAAGAAAAGCTACAATTTGATCACTTTTGATGCCTTGAAAACAGATCAGCTCCTCCAGGTAAATTACATCTCAATTCATCATTTCGTCTGGACATGCATTTTTGCTCAGCAAAATTAATTGGCAAAAATCCCCAATTTTTTGGACACAGGTGCTGAATGACGTCATCGCAGAAATAGATCCAAAGCAAAAATGCGACATCAGGGAAGAAGAACCGGATCAAATGGCTCTTCGCATGTTCGGGGTTTTGCGAATTCTCAAATATCCGCATCCGGACAATGTGTAAATTTTCCTGCCATTTTCTTCAGCAAAATTCTTTTTTTTTCATTCAAACATTTATTTTTCAAACTTTCATTTAAATTTGCAGAAGCGAATTTTTGCAAGCAATCTTGAAAGCGGAAAAAGGAGTCATTCATCACATCTTGGAATGGCTCCTGAGCAGAATACCAGAGCTGAAGAAAAGAGCGTATTTGGCAAAATTCCTTGTCAAAGTCTCTGTTCCTCTCGACATCATCGGTGACCCAGAAGTTCAAGACCTTTACGATGAGGTAAATTGTATGTATTTACAGTGGAATCTCGTTACAAAGAAACATTTGGGACCTTGAAAATGCTTCTTTATGAACAAGAAAATCCTTCAAACGAAAATAAAAATACCAAATATATACTTTTTTTCTTATGGACAGGGGCCAAAAATAAACAAATTCAACGTAAGCATACATTTTTGTAACGAGATTCTACTGCTTTTTTAAATTTGGATGAATATTTTTTTTAGAATTTCAACTTCAAAAAATGTAAAAAAAATTAAAAATAAATTAATGAAAGAATTTCTTAAATTTAGAAATAAGCGACAAAGAAAATGTACAGTATCTAAAATCCCTTCAATCAGCATTTGCAAAGATTTTATAAAATATGTCCAATTGAGTTAAACTTTTTTTTCAAGAATTGAAATTTACAAGATAATCGTTTGAGGGATTTTAAAGAATACTGTAATTTTAACGTCATATATAAATTGAAATTCTAAATAATTTTTCCATCAATATCTGAAAATACTTAAAAGATTAAAAATTGTAATTCATGGAATTATTTTGAATTTCTCAAGGAAAAATTTGACCTGAAATCAGAGTATGAGGATTATTTATCAGAACATTTCTGGATTTCACATTTTGAAGAGTGTAAAGCATTTCATTTGGCTTCCCCCAGTATGAGCTGCTGATGGAGGACTTCAAAAATGCCCACAAGGAAGTTGAACACTTGAGGAATTCTGGTTTTTCAACTGCAGAACTTCGCAAAGACATTCAGCAAATGGAAGAGGAAAGAGAAGTCGTCCAGCAGCGAATTCAAAGGATGAAATCCAAGGCAAGAAAATTAATTTCCAAGCATCCAGTGCTTTCAAATCTCATTGAACATTACAGGTTGAATCCTGGCACAAAAATGAAATTTCAGAGGTCCTCAAACCTGTGGATATGATGAACAACTTTTTATATTCTTGAATTAAATTTTTATATTTTTATATTCAATTTTTTATATTCTTAAATTCAATTTTTATATTTTTATATTCAATTTTGTATATTCTTAAATTCAATTTTTATATTCTTATATTCAATTTTGTATATTCTTAATAAAATTCAATTTTTATATTTTTATATTCAATTTTGTATATTCTAAAATTCAATTTTTATATTTTTATATTCAATTTTGTATACAGTATTCTTAATAAAATTCAATTTTTATATTTTATATTCAATTTTTTTATACTGTAACTCAATTCAAAACCTCCCTAAGTATATATCAGATCACTTCAAAAATAATGCTCTAATTTTTTAAAGCATAAATCTTGTTTTTTTTTAATTCAAAATTGTCCTAGTCATATCAAAACATCAATATAATGATTACACAGTTCCCAACAAAAAAGTTGAAACAAAAGAAAAGAATAAACTGGAGTAAAAGAAATACATCCCAATATTTATGTTCTTACCCTGATGTTAGTAAGTAAATTCAAAACTGATTCAGAATCTCTCTTTTTTCAAAGGCAGGAAACGACATTGGGAGAAACAAATAAATTAAAAAGTGAATAAAAATTGATCATTTTATAAATAATAATTTATCAAGTCCCATAAATATCAGGAAAATAAAGTAAAGCCCTCAAAAGTTGTGTTCATTGCAATGAAATTTCAAAAATTCACAACAATATTTTTATACAATTGGGTCCACTGTGTTTTCCACTGGGCCTTTGAAAATGTTCATTTCAATGAGGGAATTTTCAAATGAAATTTAGTTGAAATTTTAAGTTTACATCAAGAGACCCATCCTGTGAGTTTGTGAAGCTGCTTGATTTTTTTTTCAATAACCTGGGCACATCCATTTTTCTAATCATGTTCAGTCTTTTTTTTATTTTTAGAAAGAAGTTAGCCATGTATTTATTGTTAGTGGAATCCTCTATGAAGGGATCTCTATTGTTGTTTTCTGCATAGAAAAATTTGTAATTTCAATTCAAGAATGTGTTCATTTTTCCTCATTAATCAAGGTGGAATCAAATCCAAATCACGAATCTATGCTGGCAGTAGCAAGGGCCTTGAGAGCAGAAAGAGAAAGGGAAAGAGAACTTTCAGTTCAAAAGCAAGACCAAGTGGCTTCAATATCACACTATGACCAAAGAATCCAGAGGATGCAGAGTACATTGAAATCCCTGAGACAAGCAGGTCTTGGAACAACTGCTGAAGGTGAGATAGCATATATATATATATACACAGCACATATAAAAAAAATATATATCAGTTGGACCTTCAAAATTTCATCTCAGAAGGACCCAGCATTAAATATTTTTTTTTTTGCTCAAGAGTTGGAAAACTACAACTTCTACAGGAAAATAAAAATTGCACAAGGGTAAAATTGGTGCTTTTCAGGGCCTCAAAATGGGTTAATGAATTTACAGTAGTACAACTGACTGATTCAAAGCATGGCTACCTTATGCTCACTTTGTCATATCCTTGTCTGTGAAAAGCATCAAGATTACAAAAAAACGTTAAAAAAATAATTATAAGTTATGTTCTTAATGCTATTCTCTTTCTTGAGTCCCTGGAATAATTATTTGAAGTCCTCTTATAAATGTGAAGCATTGAAATTTGATGGTAAAGTATTTGAGTAAGAGAGGTCCACATTAAATTATCCATAAGGGGCTTCTCAGAGGAACCAAACAAAAAAATGACATAAATATGTTTGAGTTGGTGAGGTTCAACTGTAATTAAAAAGTAAATCAGTGTCCCTGGGCATGCAAAAACGCCTATACATTTCAGCACCACCAAATAAAAAAAGACTTGGTTGATCCAAAAATCATCATAAATCAAATGAAAATATTATATGTTTAAAAAAATAATAAAACTTGAAATACACGTTATTTCCATCTCCTTCCTTTACATTTTTTTTCTCTCCACCAAGGTCTCGTGAAAAAGCTTGATGAAGAAGTGCGGGTGAACGCATTCATTGTGGAGGAAAAGTTGCCAAGGGAAGTGGAAACCAAAAAAAGACACGTGGCAACTCTGGAACAAGTTGCCGGCGGTCCAGCAATGGGTCACTCTGACCTACAGAATATCCGAAATAAGGTGAGAAGCAAATTTTTTTTTCTGAAAATAATATTCTGTTCCCCGTTGAAACGCTGATTATTTAGATGAGATCCATGATTGATTATTTTTTAATACTGCAGCATGTTGCTTCATGAATATGGATAAATTCCAGACAATTACAAATAGTATTTTTTTGTATTTTTCCTTTTTTTCTCCCTTTTTATCATTATTCAATTCATGACAGGTACAAATGGTTTTTTTATTTCTTCCATATTTTACTTTTTTCAGTTTCTTATCCAAAAACTATGATGTCAATCAGTATGCTCAACAATGATCAGTCATTGTCAGATACTTATTTACAGCTGAAGGAATTAAATCAGAGATTTAAGATGTTTTCCGCAACTTCTGAAGGAAACACAAAAGTTAATCTGTGAGAGTATACAAAGTAGATTTCATTATATTTGTCACACAGTAAATACAATACAGTTGCTACAGAGCAAAGCGGCATAGATCTGGCGTTTGGTCAGAGTCTGGGTGCGGTAAACTTAATGCATCATAAAATGCACCTGTATACAGTATATAGCTTTGGCTGGCCAAGGTCAAGGAAAACGCATAGGAACCAATTTGGATTGGGGATGTCACACTTTGTTCATTTAAAAGGAAAGAAGCGTGAGCGCAGTTGGGAAAGTATTTGGTCAACAATGGGATTGTGAAATATAATTGCTAGCGCACCAGGCATAGCAGAAATGCATTAGCTTAAAAGGGTTGTACAGAAAGTGAGGAGTGTTGTGGTTGTTATTATGACTACAAGTTGTATCAGTGGTAAATTCCAAACAAGTACACATGGTGTTTTTTTCCTAAAAATTTTTCATTTCTATCAATAATAAATTCCAGACACGTACAAATGGTATTTTTTGTATTTCTTCCATAATTTCAATTCTGTAACATCAGTAATAAATTTCAGACAATTACAAATAGTTTTTAGGTTTTTTCACGTTTTTCAGTTCTTTCATTTTATCATCAATAAATTCGAAACAAGTACAAATGGTATTTTTCGTACTTCTTCCATATTTTTAATTTTTTTCATTTTCATCAGTGATAAATTATGAACAAGTATAAATTGTATTTTTTGCATTTCTTCCATTTTTTCGTTTTTTTATTTTATTTCATCAGTAATAGACTCCAGGCAAGTACAAATGAATCAATGTTCTTCTCTTTTTTTTTGTGGGCCAGATCTCTCAAACGCAGTCACAAATCCAAGCCATTCGGGAGAAGCAATTGGCAGAGGACAATTCCACTGAAGACCAGCAAACACTCACCAGACAACGTCAGCAAGCAGCCATCATTGTTAAAAAGAAAGACTCAGCAGCAGAAAATCTGAATGAACTCCGAACGGAAAAGGCCCAACTGGAGGATGACCTCAAGGTAAGACACAACGAGTAGGAAATCTAATGAACTAACTTTACTCCTCATTCTTGTGACATTTTAATTAATTCAAAAAATTAGTAATCCTGAAAAACCATGCAGGCACATGTGATGAAGAAAATGATATGATGAATGCATAATTGATGGGGTGCTGAATTCCTCACTTCCTGTGTCAACAAACATGTGTGGAAAAATTGGTACATTTGAAATGATGTTACTGTAAATAGAATATATTTTACTTGCCTGATTTTACTGTAAATTCCTTGAAAATTACTACAAAGTAATAAAAACCTGGAACATTCACTTTAGTCAGAATCACCTCAGAAGTGAGAGATGACTGACAAAAGTTCTCAGGATAAAAATTGATAAAAAAAAAGCAAATGGTTGAGCTGAAAAATTATTATTATTAAGATTTTTGAAATCCCTCTCTTTGGCACAAAAAAAAAATTTCAGCCCTGACTGACATATTTTGAAGCCAATTGTTTTGCAAAAAGTCACCCCTGGAAGCTTCTTATTCACTCAAGAGATGAGGCACCCATGCACATATTTTTTTTTCTTTGGTGTAGCCCAGCTTCTACTTCAGAATTCTTGAAATGGACCTGGCTTTGATTCCATAAGGGTTGACTCCAGGTCCTTCAAGGTCATTCTGCCATTTTCATCAACACCTGAAACAATTGCCATGTTAATTTCAGGATTTCTGAAGAATTCTTGAAATTGACCTTGTTTTGATTCCATAAGGGTTGACTCCAGGTCTTTCAAGGTCATTCTGCCATTTTTATCATCAGCTGAACCAATGCCATATTAATTTCAAGAATTCTGAAGGAGAAGCTGGGCTACACCAAAAAAAAAAAAAAGTGAGATGGATGCCTCATATCTTGAGTGAGGTGTGACTCTTGCAAAGATTGTCTGCAAAATATTTCAAACAGGGCTGATTTAATCATTTTCTTGAGTGTTTTTTGTAAGAATGTTCCAATCTTTAAGTGGAAGAAGGAACTTGTGCACAAATACTGTACAATCAACTAGACATTTTTTAATAGAAATGAAAAAACCAAAATAATGAACTTAATGATTTTATGTTAAGAATGTAATGTGTTGAGAATAATTTAAATTTAGCAGAAAAAATGAAAAACCTTCATTGGTGCTTTCCCCATTAGAAATCCCATTCCAAGTCAAAGCCCAACTTTTAAATGTTCATCTCTATGACATATTTAAATTTAAATACTGTTCATGAAATCAGACACCACTGCTGAGATTTTACTGTGATTTTAAAACATGAGATTCAAAATTGAACACACATTGTGCTTCAATATTATAGTCAAGGTTCTTGCTGAGATACTCTAAAGCCCACAATTTCAACACTGGCTCATGGCGTATTTACAGGATAAAAAGGGTCAATTGGAGCAATTCGGAGGAGACGGGGTTGTAAAAGGAGAAGAATTCAAAAGGTACGTTAATAAACTCAGAACCAAAAGCACTCTTTACAAAACCAAGCGTCAAGAACTGTCAGAACTTCGTGCTGAATTTGGTGTCTTGAGTCGCACTGAAGAAATTCTAAGAGCCAAAGAAGACCATGCACAAAGAGCTTTGGTAAGTATTACATATAGAGTACCAGATTTTTTTTTCTTTTCAATTTCTCAAATGGGAATCTTTTTTTTTTATAATTCAGGCAACTTTGGAGGCAAAACAGGGAATTCCAGGGTTTTCTCTGGCACAGGAGAAAATGGAGGAAATCAGCACTGAGAAGGGTTCCATTGATTCAGCAAAAGGTGCAACTCTGAATGAAATGTCAGCAATGGTCTTGCAACTCAATCAGAAAATTGCTGATAAGAAAGCCCGACTTGCACCAGTCATCAAAGGTCAGTTTTAAATTTTTATACATATATATTTTTTAGTGTTCATAAATTCCAATTTTTTTAATGAATTTTCATTTCAATTTATAATTTTTTTTAAATTTATGTACAGTAGTAATATTTAAAAAAAGTATGTCTTCTCCCAGAAAATAATTTTTAAAATAATAAAATATCAATACAATAATTTATCAGAATTATAAATTGATAAATTACCAAATACAATTTCTCCTCAAAGTTGATTTCTAAATTGTTTGGAAAATGAAAAATTATCTTTGATCAGGCTAAATACGTTATTGCACTTTAATTTTTCCTCATTAATTGCCTTGTGCTGTGATTTTTGTCATTCTTGAAGTGAAAAGATTATGGAAATTAATTATTCATGCATTACTAAAATTTACTTCTTCTTTTAATACTCATACAGTGATTTTTTCCCATAAGCAGGAATTTGTTGAATGGATGTGTGAGAATTGTTTTTAATCTTGTGAATGCTGACAAGTAACAAATACAGCTTGTAAATCATCATCTTTAATCCACCAACTTTTTGTGATTTATGAAAACTTATGCCTGCAATCACTTTTTTTATCCTCTACTTGTACAAAACATATATATAGTATAAATGGAAGTGACACTACAAACATTTATTTTTTGAAAATTGTGACTGTATTCTGATTTTCTTCATGGACTCTCTTTTATTTAGAACTCTGCTGCTGACCTTCAGTCTGAATTGACCTCATAATTTCTCAAACTAGAAAAATGCAAAGAAACATTNCACGAGCTCGGGCTTGTAACAAGGAATAACTTGAATAACGCACACGTAAACTTGAACTGAACTTGTCTTACTGATAATCGAAGCTCTTTATATAGCATTCATAATAATTAACGTAATTAACCTTCACAAGGTTTTACTTCCTTCAATGATGGCAGGAAAAGTTATCGTCGAAGATGCTACAGTGCTTGGCGCATCCGGTACCAGGATGTGCCTGGCACTGCGATTTTGAGGAGGGGGGAATATTATTTTAATTCGTAGAATTCAAGTATTCTATTGTACCCGGCGTACATGCCCAACAAACGTGGTCTTTTTTTCTTGTAAATAATGAAATTTTATAATAAATTTTATCAATAATAATTATATATATATATATATTATTGCTAAAATATATAATATATTTTAGCAATAATAAAATGTTATAATAAATTTTATTAAAATAGAAATAAAATTTTATTTTATTCATTTATCCACAGAGTTGAGACCCTTGCGTCAAGAAGTGCAAGACATGACGATAGAATATGAAGAAAGAAAGCATTCTTATGATTCCACTGCTGCTGGACTGGAATCAAGCATCGCAAAATTGCAACAGGTTTGTGAAAAATTAAGATTTCTTAAAAAATTTATATCAATTTTCAAGTTGTTCTTTTTTTTGTCAACACCAAAAAATCTTCTCCTTTTCAGCAAGTAGCCAAGTTGAACAAGGACTTTTCGAGCTCAGAAAGCAAATTCCACATTCTCCAAGCGGAAATGACTGTGATGGAAGTGATGAAGGAGCAAACAGAGGAAGAAACTAAACTTTATGTCACAAAAACCGGGTCTGGGTCTCAAAAATCCATCAGGTTGGACTGAAAAAAAACAAAAAAAGCAAAATCTTCCTTCATTATTATTATTGGAAAGCTACATATTTTATTTCAATTATTTCATATGATTTTATTCACAGAGAGCAACTCATGATGAACATATCAGATGCTGAAAAAGTTGGATCAGAGTTGAGGACAAAGCAAAAAAGTTTGAAAAGTTCTCATCCTGATGCAGGGAGACAGAAGATCTTCTGGGCCAATTTGGCAAAGTAATTCATTTCCCATTCACAACATATAAAACAACATGTTCATAATTTGATCCTCAATTTTATTTTCAACATTTCAGGTTGATGGATGCTAAGCGTCAGAGCTATGAAATGATGAAAGGTGGTTCATTGGCAGTGATCAGGAGGGATCTTCAAGGAGAAACCATGACTTTGNAAAGCATTCTTATGATTCCACTGCTGCTGGACTGGAATCAAGCATCGCAAAATTGCAACAGGTTTGTGAAAAATTAAGATTTCTTAAAAAATTTATATCAATTTTCAAGTTGTTCTTTTTTTTGTCAACACCAAAAAATCTTCTCCTTTTCAGCAAGTAGCCAAGTTGAACAAGGACTTTTCGAGCTCAGAAAGCAAATTCCACATTCTCCAAGCGGAAATGACTGTGATGGAAGTGATGAAGGAGCAAACAGAGGAAGAAACTAAACTTTATGTCACAAAAACCGGGTCTGGGTCTCAAAAATCCATCAGGTTGGACTGAAAAAAAAAACAAAACAACAAAATCTTCCTTCATTATTATTGGAAAAAGCTACAAATTTTATTTTAATTATTTCATATGATTTTATTCACAGAGAGCAACTCATGATGAACATATCAGATGCTGAAAAAGTTGGATCCGAGTTGAGGACAAAGCAAAAAAGTTTGAAAAGTTCTCATCCTGATGCAGGGAGACAGAAGATCTTCTGGGCCAATTTGGCAAAGTAATTTATGTCCCATTCACAACATATAGAACAACATGTTCATGATTTGATCCTCAATTTTATTTTCAACATTTCAGGTTGATGGATGCTAAGCGTCAGAGCTATGAAATGATGAAAGGTGGTTCATTGGCAGTGATCAGGAGGGATCTTCAAGGAGAAACCATGACTTTGTAGATTGAATTTATGTCAGAATCCCAGAAAAAGGCTTCAAATTGACAAGAGGTAAAAATTGTTTAGTACCATGTATTATTGAAGATGATCCCAAGCTACAGAAACATTCATCAGTTATTGCTTGAATTCCTTGCATTTATTTTCCATTTTTTGGGGGAAACTGAAATAGAAAATTGACAAAAGAATGAATTTATTGTGAATTATTTTCCTGATTTTAAGTTCATGTGTGATCAATTTGTCTTGTAGCAGCAGGAATGATGAATAAAAATGATGCTTATAAGAAATTTCAACTTTTTTTTTACCAAATTTTCATTATTTGCAAAAAGTGAATTGATCTCAGAATCCTGAAATCATTCAAGACCCATGAATCATTTGGAGTAAATGAAATATATTTTAAATTTCCATTGCAGCATAGATTAGTACATACAGTACTTCATTCATGACTCATCAATTTTGTACTGTAGTCATATGAATTGAACAGCACTTTGGATTGTTGTCTTGTTACTTCACATACCATTCTGAATCATTACTTTTTGGTTTGCAACTGCACCCCACATTCTTCTGTTATTTTAAATGTCTTTTTTAAATCATGCTCCTTTCCTTTGTTTGCTGCACAACACAGTATGTCAGCACTGACCCAAGTTTGCCATTGCCAACTTCAATTGCATGAATCTATATAAATACAGGTGTCTCCTTTGTTGACACTAGCTTGCTGTTACTGGACTTTGCTGAAAAACCTTGTTGACATTGCTATGCTCTGCAATACATATTCCATTGCTGTGTGAATACAATTGAATAAAGCACTTGAATAAAAAACTCTTTTGGGAGTATCCTTTGCATTCTTCAAAAGCATGCAGACAATTTTTAAATCTCAAATTCCAAGTTGATGATTGGCAGAACTATTTTGCTAACAAAAGTTCAGTTGCCTGATCAGCAATTTTGAGATACATGTACAATTAAATTTGTTCATACCAGTCAAGACAACAGTATGTGTTGGGTACATATCCTACAAAAAGATACTTTTCCAGCAATAAAATTTTTATATAAAATAATTAATTTTCAAGAGGTATTAGGAATCAAAATCAACAACTTTTGGAAATCAGTTTCAACAACAAAAAATATCCTAACAATTTCAAGTAGCTCAATTCCTTATATATAAACCAACTTTCATGAAATATTACATAAGGGATCAAAATTACCCCATTTTGGAAATTTGTATCAATCAAGAAAACAAATGAAATCTGTCCTGCTGAGAATTGCAAGTGGCTCATATACATAATATAAACCGATTTTAATGTTATATTACATCATGGGTTGCAATTAACCCCTTCTCGAAATTTTTTTCAGCCAAAAATAACTAAATAAAATCTATCCTGATAATTGCAAGTATTGCAGCTCATATTCCATATAAACAGATTTGAATGAGATGTTACATCACAGGGATCAATACTAGCCAACTTGACAGAGCCCAAATCACAGGATTGAGCCCAAACATTCATTAATCAAATCAAAAGAAATCAGTCTTGATGCTTGGCTTGCTCCCAAAAGAAAAAAAACATGACTTTATAACATTCTAAAAATTTAGAAAATCCATAAATTTTGAAAATTGAAACATATACTGAGGAGATTCAGTTTCCAGCATCACAAAAACGTCTCATTTCCAATGGCATCACTCACTTCCAGATTGCCTAATACTGTACAAGCTAAAAACTATACTGATATGTTCATGGACAAATATCAATAAAAAAAAGCATTGACTTATTCATGAATGTATGGCAAGTGCTTCCTCGCTATTGACAAAGAATACCAGGAACCCTTGTATGAACACATTTCCCATTTCTGCCTTTCTTTTTTTTTTGCAGATGAAGACAAAGAAATGGCCACTGCCAATAAACTCTGGGCTTCCCAAGGAAAATGCGATATCCTCAAATACAGCAATTTTTGGCTGAAGAATAATGTCCCAATGCTCATGCCAAAAAACCAATTATGGTCAAACAAAACTGCAAATATTCCTTAAAATCAGAATTATAAAAATTAAATGTAAAAAAAAATGAACAAGCAAATTAAATTTAGAACTGTTCCGGTGAAACCGCGAAATCAGTTAGAAATAATTCGCAAATAAACCATAAATTTCTTTGTAGAATTTTTCATAACATGTTTCAGTAGCCTTTTTCTTCTTCCTCCTTCTAAACAATTTTTTAGACATATAAAAAAACAAGCGCTCAACCTGTTTTATCCCAGAAAAACAAATGCCTGCATTGTTACCTTTTATTTCAAAAAGGAAATTTCACAAATTTCCACACACAAAAACTAAATTACACTAAAACTAAAATACTAAACCTTGCAAAGCTCAAGGTCAGCAAAAAAGGAGCATAAGTGACCAAAAACCCTTGTATATGAGCCTATACATACAGTTTATGAAAATATGGTAAATACTTTCTCAATCACAAAATACTTTCAATGTTTATAATACAATTAATGAAAATTCGCCTCAAATCACACCGCTTATGAATTGATTACTGGTGTAAATAATTCACAAGAAATGCATAAAATCCTCTCGAAAATCCACAAAAATCTCCATGGGATGCATGAGAAAGAAGGAGAAAAAAACCAGAAAGGGAGACCAAAATATTTTCTACAGCACGTATTCCAAACATGTAAAGCGGTTTTGTGCGTTTTTTTTTTTTTTTTTACAGAGCCTGGCATCCATACTAACATGAGCCCCAAATGAGCTGAATGGCATGCAAAACAGCTGCAAATCCTGTGCACTGTACATGCTGTTCTGCAAAGAACACAGAGCTTTCCACTTGAAATTTCTGGGGCAACCTTTTTCAACATGATAACTTGATACAGTACTAGACCAATGAACTCTCAAAGGGCATAGAGTTGCTTGGAAAATGGTTCATCAATATAGTTATGGAGGGTGCAAAAAAAATATATGGGTTGGTTCATTTCTGAGATGAAGACATAGAAATAAATTTTCAGTTTTGCATACAAATAAGGTTCAATATGCTGCAGAGTATTCTGGAAAGTACAGTAGAAGTACAGCATTCTGAAAAGATTTTCTCAAGAACTGCATGGTTCAGAACTTTTGTAGATATAAGAAAATTAAATTCTCTCAGTGCCAAATTTCTTCATTCAGAATCTTGAATGAATGAACAGAACACTTTTATTTGCCGCTTTTCAGCATTCACACGGTACAATCAACATTTCCACATCCAAACCCCCTCCCCACCCAACCCAAATCCCCTCAAAGACATTTAATAACTTCAAAGCAGGAAACAAAGCACAAATTGATGACAAAAGTAAAAGAATATTCAATCCACAAAATACAACTGGACATCTGACATGTATGCGTACACCCACTCATTTCCTGACATTGAATACAAAATAGCAGTAAAAGTTCATTTAAAGCACAAGGTCTTCAGCTTGTTTCTGTACTCAACACTCTTACAGAATCTTGTATAATACAATATAATCAATAATGAGCATTGAAGCAAGCCTTTGCTCATTTGGCCAGGGCTTCAATTCATTCAAAGCTCTGAATTAAACAGTTTAGAATTCTAGACTGCAGCTCTTGATTGAACAGTTTAGAACTTTAAATTACCACTTCATATTTTTGACAAAGTCAATGTTCAATTTAACACCAAAAGAATGCCTTTCCCATTGGAAAATGGTGGTATCAGATTAGGGAATTGATGAAGAGATTTTCTAAGCATCTTAAACATTCAAAAGTTTTCAGTCTGCCTGGAAATCTCATTAAAGATTCCTGGAGGGATCTCATGAACAGTATTTCCTCAAAGTAATGAGATGAACTTCAATTATATCCTATCCTCAAAGTAATGAGATGAACTTCAATTATATCCCATCTATGAGCAAACTTGAGAGGGGGGGGGTCAAGACAACTGCATTCGCTCATTTAAAACACATCCTCACCAAAAATTGCACTCTTACTTTCACATTTTATATTTTGTAAAAGACACACAATTGTGGCTTTCTGAATCACATTGAAATTGAATTAAATTCCTGACACAACTAAGCAATAATAAGACCAAGAAAAAACTATGTTGCAATGAAAATCAATTAAAGTTTTAGCTATTTTGCAAGGATTTGAAAACTATATTTATTGCAATCAATAATTTGTCCCAACAAGATTTATCGTGTCAGAAGCTTGCTGAATTTCAAACACTTCAGCACATAAAAATGTGAATCCAATCTTACATGAAAGCTAATTATTGCAACTTTTTTTGAGTGCATTTCATAAATTTTCAATGCAATTGAAAGACAGCTTTCATTTGAGCACAAAATTACACTTTGACCTATTTTGATTTTTTAAAATTTGCTGCTTTTGTTTGCAAATTTGTTTGATTTGAGTATGGTTCACTTGCTAATCACTCATTATAAAAATGTAACATACCACAAGCATTCACATTCTCCCACTGTTTTTTGTTTCTGATAAAGTTGAGTATAGCACTTCTGAGTAAATATGGTACTCTGCAAAACTCATTTATATTTTCATTCATACAACAAGCATGAAAATGACTAATGAATCACCCCTTCCCCATAGTTCCATGCAGGAAAGGGGGTGTGTGGGGGTGGCAAAAAAAAAACAGAGAAGAAGGATGTGAGCAAGAAAAGAAGGACACCTGCATGATGAACACTCTCTTATGATCCTGAGCAGCAACAACAACATTACTCCCCAGCAGCACCCTCCTCCACCACAGGCAGCACAATCCAGCACCCCCCCTTTCACACCCTGGCAACAGAAGCCTCATTCATGGCCCACAAGGCCTCCAGTGCGCCCAGCAGCAGCAGCATCATCAAAGCTATAGCTTATCCTTCACATCTCCAGTGAGTGTGTGGGTGTGTATGTTTGTGGGGTATATTGAACCCTCATGAGCCAGTCAACCACCACCACTGCTGCCTTCATACCAAAACAGAGCCTCAAGAGTACAATTATTGAGATAGGGCCAGACTTGACACCCACTGTGGGGGTGGCATTGAGTGAAGAGCAAGTGGTTGATATCCTGGGGTGCAAACAGGGTCTGGATGAAGACCCTGGAGAGGTTCAGAGACAAGTGCCAATTGGTGTTGCTTTCACTGGCCGCATGAGGTCAGCTTCTGCCTTCTGGAGTCAAATCATGCCTTTCAGGGCAACCACTGCTGGTACCACTGCTGGGGACTGCAAT